AAAGCACAATTTCAAAATTTTGCATAGATCAAACATGAACTCTCCGGACAAACAACATGCGCGAGAAAGATAAAAGGGGCACAATCCTATCATTCAACAAGCTTTGTTTTCGGGGAGATTTTACAACAGGGATATTTTTACGACGTCATCATAAAAATGGGATTTCACAGACATTGAGGAGATCGTCATTTTACAATATTCAATCAATCTCTCGCTTTTGCTATCGTTTTTTTTTTTTCTATTTACATGTGAATTGAAGGAATTGTTGTAATTTCATTTTCAATATCAATCTTGGATTGAATAGCAATGGATTTAGAATCTTTTCATTGGATTGCGATTTCTATTTCTGCATTTGCGTTTCCTTAAATTTTCAAATCCCGATTCCAGTATTATCTATGCTTGTTGATATTGTTTGATTACATGACGAATTGCGAGTAATTTAGATGTTAGAAAAACCCGTTGTAGCAATCATTTCACTCTTTCTTCATTTTGAAGAAAGTTAGAAAAACATATCGTAGCAAAAATTTGACCAAAATCTCTACTTTCTCGACTTTGGAGGAACCTTGACGTTCTTATATTATAAACCTCATTGTTTTCATAAGATATAAGAAGTTAACTGAGACGATCTCCAAATAAATTCTCTAAAACGGAAGCTCAAAAGTTAAAATCTCTAAAGCAAATCATATTCCACTTAAACATTTTTCTATTTCAAATAGATTTCAATATTAATTATATTCCAAAAATATTCAATACAATATCCGTTTTAAATAATTTGTTGAAAATCCTCTGATTAATTTCAGTCATTTTCAAAATCAAATAATATTAAAAAACGATATTTCTTGTTGCCCATATTAAAACACTATTTTTTTAAACCGACACATTAAAATATGTTATGGAAAAAATTAAGTGACGTGTTAAAGGATGGTGAAAGTAAGAGAAAATACATACATACATACATACATACATACATACATAGGGGTCCATTCAAAGAACATGAGATCTAATGTGAACCAATCGTTTATGATATTTAAGGATATTTCTTGAATAGGCTAAAAGGGTAATATAGTGATTCTATTTTTGATAACTAATTAAAAATTTTGATTAATTTTTTTGGAAATAAATATCTAATTAAAATTAATTACTTAGTATATCAATTACCTAATATACATCGTATTTTGAAGATGTTTGTGAATCAAAGTGTATCATAGTGATAACGTTCACAATGTTTCACGTGTATCACTATGTATTTTCTTTGTTTTATTAAATGTATCATCGTGTGAATTTTCATTATTTTCATTGCGTTACAAAGAGTATCACATTGTGCATCTTGTATCTATATCTGACTATCACAGTGAATATCGTTTGTAGGTATCATAGTGTGTAGCTTATGTTCACATAAGGTTCATCGAATAAGATTCAGCAGAGAGAAGAAAGATGAGAGAGGATATTTATAAAATCCCTAAAATTAAGTTAATATTACCAAAATTATTAATTTCCTAATTTAACATTTGATTTATGGTTGAGATTGGATTTTATGATTACCACAAACAAAACAGTTATCAATTGCTTAGATCCCTATATATATATACATACATATATATATATATATATATAKAGAGAGAGAGAGAGAGAGAGAGACTTGAGATCATGTGAGACCAAAGATTTTTCGTAAGACCAATTCTCAACCCTTGGATTAGATTTACAATCTGAACATTCATAAACGCCACGAGACTTCTCAATAATCACAAAATTGTCACCGTGCAAC